TTCTGAACAGTCTCTTCGGACGAAAACAGCTCGGCGTTGCCCGAAAATCAACTTTTCCACTTTTTCCTTCGTTTTTCTCTCTCCTGCCTTTTTCTCTCTCTTCAAAATATCTCATTTCTATATAAATCCAGACTGATCTTCCCGGACGATCGCACTTCATCCCGGGACGAAGTGGCTCTGGACAAATTTCGTCAAGACGAAATTTAATTATCATCCCCGGCGACTGGTCCTCGGGAGAATTTTCGTCCAGACGATCCAAATTTCGTCCAGACGATTCATGCAGCCAGAACTGTTTTCCTTGAACAACCTGTACCAATCGTCCCGGACGATCCAACTTCGTCAGGACGAACCTGGAGCAAAACTGATGTTACAATCTCCCCAACTTAAAAAAAATGTCGTCCTCGACATGGCCAATCCAAAAATCAGTCAAAACAGATACGGATACGACTGTCTCATGTCAGACTCCTTCTCCCAAGTGGCTTTCCGTGCAGTACGGTGCTTCCACTGGACTTTAACCATCGGAATCTCTTTACTTCGTAGCTTTCGGACGTCGTACGCCAAAATCAACTCTGGCTCTTCCTTGTACGCCAGATTCTCCTGAATCTCAACCTCGTCAGCAGACAACTTCTTCCCATAATCTGATACCCACTTCCTCAAAGTGGATACGTGAAACACGTTATGCACATCAGGCATTGAATCAGAAAGCAACAGTCGATAAGCAGATTTTCTAATCCTTTCCAAGATTTCAAAAGGTCCAATATATCTTGGACTAAGCTTGCTCACCTGGCCAAATCTACTCACACCCTTCATCGGGCTGACTTTGACATACACAAAGTCACCAACTTGAAACTCAACAAACATGTGCTTCTGATTATAATACTTCTGATGTCGATCTTGAGCCGCTTTCAATCTTTCTTTTATCAAACTGATCTTCTTAACAGTTTCTTTCAAGAAAGTGGCACCCAGTTCCTGTTTATCTCCGACCTCAATCAGAGTCAACGGAGTACGGCACTTCCTATACAGAGCCTCGTACGGTGTCATGCCAATACTGGACTGAAAACTGTTGTTATAAGCAAACTCAATCAAAGGGATATGATCCTCCCAGTCTCCGCCAAAGTCCAAAACACAAAGTCTCAACAAATCTTCCAACAGCTGAATAGTCCTCTCAGACTGTCCGTTAGTCTGCGGA